CAGCGTGGGGGAGGGGGCTGCTGCGGAGGCGGGTGAGCGCTCCTCAGCGGGTCGGGAGAGGAAACTGGTCTGCGGGGGCTTTGCAGGCGAGGGGGGCGGCTGTGGGGAGGGCGGCTGAGGAGGCTGCACTACGTGCCTGGGAGGTGTATTCGGGTGAGGGGGGTGCGCACTCTGCGGGGTGGGGGGTTGGTGGTGGTGTGTGCGCGGCCGTTGCTCTTGAATGAGGGAGGTGTGAAGAAATTGACAGTGTATGGGCTGTATGTGTGCGGTGCTGATTTGGTTAAAGTTCGTTTGAGGGGATACAGCCTCGGAAGACATGGCCTGAGTTAAAGCACGGTGTGTGCTGTGTGGGTGCATAACACAGAGCAGTCCCGGAAACAGTTTGTTTAATTTTCTTTATTCTTGACTATATTTTTGGTTCTTAGTTTTACTATGATCTCTCGCTGAATGTAATGAATTTAATTACTTGTAAGAGAGGGTCATGCCTCTGTAGATTTATGGCATAATTGTATTTTTTTCCCCCATGTTATTTCATTATGGAAGTGATAAAGGGTATCTAGCTTTCTGTCATGTGTCAGGTACCATGTCATTGGCCTTGGAGCTTTATTACACATATGGGCTCAGAACTATACCTTCAGTTCTGGTAATACTAGCTAGAACTAAGAGTAGCTACCTGGCACATCTGAATGTTGTCCGCATTTAGCCTGTACTAGAGCTAAACTGTGACAGTTGTTCTATCACCCGAAGAACCCTCACCAATCAGGGAGGGGAGTCAGGAAAAAGGAGAGAAGACCCATAGGTGAAAGTACAACAGGTTTAACGAAACACCACCAGTACAAACAGAAAATACTTAGCCAAATGAATACACTGTTGTCACAATCTGTTGCCAAGTAGTCCTCAGCAGAAACCAGAGAAGGAGCAGGAATCCAGCAGGGCTAACCTCACAGGAGCTCCCTCTCCTCAGTAAACCACCTCCCTTTATAATGAGCATGACATTACAGTGTGGGCTGCAGCTGTGGCCAGCTCGGGTCAGCTGCCCTGGCTGGCTTGAGCCTGCCTAGCATGGCTGGGCTGTGATTCTGTCCCAGCCAAACCAGGACAAATGTCTACTACTGTCACTAATATAATGAATTCAAAAGTATTTTTTTAGCTTAGCAGTGATATTCTTTGATCAATGACTAAGTTACAATAAAACTATTGATGTATTTATCTATATTTTTATAGGTTTTGCTGAGAACAACAGCAGGAGATATAGATATAGAATTATGGTCAAAAGAAGCACCGAAAGCATGTCGAAATTTCATCCAGCTTTGTATGGAAGGTAAGGATGGAATGGGACAGGAGTTATTGAAATTATTTCATGTGCAATTCTTGTGTCTTTTTTGTAAATATACAATGTTTTAACTTTTAATATGTTAGTGAATTAATTTGTGTTTAGAAAATATTAATTAACACTCAGACAATGTTTTTTAAGGTTATTAAGGAACACAGTGGAAAAAAAAATTTAGGTGATTTTTCACTAAGGTGACTTAGTATTATTAAAAAGTATGTCAAAGGCTTGGGAATGCTTATTTTCAGCAAGTGTCTACAAAGTAAAACTGCTTCTTTAATGTATATAAGAAATGACGATGATGCAATATTGGACATGCTCCAAAATTCTCATTTCTGTATTGCGGTCTTTGCTACCTTTGCATGTTTTTCATAAGTTTTTCTGATGTTTTAATTTGCTGTACCTTTTTGTTGATGGAAGCTCTGTAATGCTCTTCACTGAAGCAGTGGGTACCAGAATGAGAAGCTTGTTGGGGAAACTGTAACAAGAATTTGTGAAGGACCTGGTGCCTTTATGTGTTTTGTAGCTACTGCTATTATCGCATTTATGCATTTATAGAGTGGTTAAGAGTTCTTTTAGCCCTCCTCTGTTAAGGAAAAATAGCAATCTAGGATTTGTGCATCCAGGACGGATCCAGCCTTTTCCATGTTCTTATACCTAGTGTGGAGATATGGAGATTTTTTGCAATGGTAAATCGATTTCTTAGCCCTTGGTAAGTCCTAAGAGTTCAGTTATCCTCAATGCCAAAGAAATGGGCTTTATTTCCTTTCTGAGTTTGACTGCTGTGTAGGATCCTATGCTTTGTATAATAAATCCGAGTATTTCTCTTGTAAGTATCAGGGCATATAATCATCCATGAATATATCTAGCTATGCTGCAACATTTGCAGATCCTGTCATTAGCAGTCCTTTGTAGCTGAGATACGGTCATACTAAGCAAGACAGTGGAAGAGGAGGGAACCCAGTGGAAATAGCAGAATCCAGTTACAGTACTTGCTTTCTGGAACTTCAGTCTCTGGACATCACCTGTATGAAAGTTTGATTTTGAGACCGCTTACATGTATTTAATATCCTCTTTATCTTTTTTTTTTCCTTTTTTTTTAGAATATTACAATAATACAATATTTCACAGAGTAGTGCCTGGCTTTATAGTACAGGGTGGTGATCCCACTGGTACTGGATCAGGTGGAGATTCAATCTATGGAGCTCCCTTCAAGGTACGTATCTGTATATCTTATGCATTAATTTTTGGTTATTCACTATCAGTTCTTCCTGCTGTGTTAGGTTGTGAGAAAACAAAGCTTACGTTAGAAATGCAACATTATACATGCACAGTAATTGTTGCTTCAGTGTATTCAAATATACCTTTTTGAATTGAGAGCACTTAAATGTAGCTGTTCTGATATGATAAATGTGTAACCTTACTAGCATGAACTCACAAGGGAAAATAGGAGGAGGGGAAGAGTGAAGAGGAGGTGTTCATATGGTGCAAACTCAGATGCAGAAATGTACATTCTGTATGCACATTTCATCTCATTTAGCAAAGGTCTCTGAATGCTGTATATGTGAGCATTGGTATTGTTGCTACCAGCGTGGCTCATCTCATTAACAATGAGGCTCAGATCCCAAGTGAAGCTACACATGCACAGTGGCTATGTTCTGTTCTGCCTGATGGTTTTATTTCATTTGAGGCAGGCGCCTTTAGCTCTTGACGGAAGCTGCATAGCCTGTCTCTGAGCCTTCTGTCTCTCTCCCTGCTGCTAGAGCAGACTCATACATGTAACACGAACATGAAGGTTGTGGAAGGGATTGGTGCCTGAGCAGAAAACAAAACAAATATCACCAATATTGTAGTGTCACTGTTTAAAGTTAGTGGTATCTCAATATTGCGTTGTTTAGAATTATGATGCTGCCATTACTCATTGCTTTCACCTTGCTTTGAAAGTAGTCCTATTCTGTCTTCTTATGGTCCAGAAAATGTTCTTCCTATGAATTTTTGCAATACTGTACTATTACAACCTGTTATTGAGCTTCTGGTTATTTTACATGAATTAGGATTTTTTCCCTAAATACAGTGGGTAACAAGAATGTCACATTTTACAAGAAATGTATGAAATGCAGTTACTGTCAGAAATACTTTGGATTTTCATAATATTGGGGGGATATTAAATTCCAGGAAAAATAACGAATAATGATTATTAGGCAATGACTGGAAAAAGAGAAAGTTAACAACACAGAACTTAAAGCGTTTTTATTAAATCTTGTCTTTCTATTATCGATACACTAGTTTCAAATTTTTTTCTTTCAGTGTTTTTTGGTTATGTGTTTATGGTTTCTTTTAAAGAAGATTATTCAGTTGTTTGCATTATTATAGGCACTAAGAAGAAAAAACATTGACTAAAAAGAAACATTTCTGATGAAAACAGGAGCTTTTAAATACAATTGTGCCACTAAGTTTCAAAATACTTTGGTTTTCTTACTATTTGAATTTAAAAGAAAGTTAACACCATATTTTCTGTGTGCGTATATTGATGTAAATAAGCTGAAGAAGTGGAAAAAATAGTTACATACTTAAATTATGTTATTTTCTCTTCTGTCTCTGCCAGGATGAGTTCCACTCACGATTGCGGTTTAATCGAAGAGGACTTGTTGCTATGGCAAATGCTGGGCCCCATGATAACGGGAGTCAATTTTTCTTTACGTTGGGTCGTGCAGATGAACTTAATAACAAGCACACAATCTTTGGAAAGGTCTGTTGCACAGACTAGAGTTCCAGTTTGTTTGATAGAGTTCCAGTTTGTTTGACAGAAGCTACTATAAGTTTCTCTGTATTCAAAGGCCATTTTAGTGTTGTTTGCCTCTACTTACATTTGAAATGTTTTTTGCTGCTTTCTAAGCTGTCTCCATTCTCTTTGTTTCACTTGTCTGGTAGAAATGTTATTATAGGTTGTTCCCATAATGATCTACTTTGCTGTAATTATTCTTCTAAATTACAGTTTTGTGTTGTACTTCCTTTGAATAATTGTACT